TTCTGTTCACGCCGACGTCGCCGATGCATGGCCGACATCTCCGATGCATCACCGACGCATCGCCGATCCTCCGACCCCATTTTCTCAGACCCCATCTGGGAGGCCTCTAGATACCCAGGGAGCACCACCACGCTTTGGGACTGGCAGCCGCGGCATGCTGTCACAACCTCGTCGAAGACACGAGGCGGGACACCCACGGAGCAGCAGCACACTTTGGGCCTGTTCCCTGGGGGGCGGCGCGGGAACGCGAAGTTATTCGCGCTTCGCGCAGCGAGACGCGCGAAGTGAGGCGCCCTTGCAAGCAGGCGTCGGATGTCAGGAGGATGGGGTCGGGGAGGGAGTCGAGCAACAAAAGGACAGCACCTTGACCCGGTGCTGCTCCTCCTCATCGTGCTCCCCCTCATCCTGCTCCCTAACTCGGGGTCAGTTCGTGCTCGAGCGCTTGTCGTGCGTCGAACGCCCAGCGCCTGTGCCGGAGCCTCCTACTCCCTCGAAGATCGAGAAGAGCACCATAAACACCGTAGGTTCATGCGGCGCTGGCGCGCCGGCGACGCCGGCAAAGGCGTTCAAGGTAGAATTCTGCGACGCGGAAGCACGGATGTACGGTAACGCCACTGGACCTGGCTGAATTCAACCTTGAACGATCGGGGCCGCGATCGATTCAAGGTGGAGCGATCGACGCGGTGTCAAAACCCTTTGCGCGCGCCGACGCCGCACGAACCTACCGCATACGCACTCGCAGGTCCGCGCGGATTAGCTATTGAGGTCGGCGCAGGAGATCCCCTGGCGGCGCTTCCGGCGCCGCCTTGGGCCCGCTCCGCTTCGCGGGGGGAGGGGTGTTGGCGCCGACCCAGGAAGCAGTCCTTGCTGGCCTCCGACGTGTTATGTTTTTGTGATCGTTTCTGTTCGTCTAGGGACGGGGGAAGGAGGAAGGAGGGAGGACGAGCGAGAGGGAGAGAAGGGAGGAGCAGGACAGGAAAGGGAATGGAGATGGACAGGAGAGAGACGACGACGAGGATGATGCGGAGTGGAAAAGGGCCAGCTTGTCGCCGAGCGCTCTCCACTATTCGCGATGGCCCGACTCTCAAACGCTAGACAAGGCACATGATTGCCTCGATGTATTAGAGCGTAAATCCCCCGCGGCGGATCCAGGCCATTTGCGAGTAGGTAATTTGCGAGTAGTGGACCGCGCTTTTCTAAAGTGGAAGAATCCTAGACGCTTCGCGAATCCCCACCAGCCCTTGCCAGCTGCTGTTTAGGCTCTCGCCCTGCGCGTAGGCCTGGCGTCTTTCGATCGTTGACGCCGCGCGGCTGCTCGCTTGCGGTTGCGAACAAAAAATATCCCCACTTGCCGCTTGGCAATTTAGGCCGTAGCTAGCGCGTTCTGACTTTGACGTTGTGCGGCACTTCCGTATCGCTTGCGATCAAAAATCCCCACCAGCCCATCCATAAACGATGTTCAGGCGAGTTGAGGTGATCAGGGTAGTGCGGGAGCAAAGAGGGGGACGGCCGAGCCGTGCGAAGGAGGGAGGAGGACAAGGAGGAGGCTGGATGGGTGAGGGAGTGGGGAGAAGGAGGATGAATTGGAGGAGGAGGAGGAGGAGGAGGAGGAGGAGGAGAAGGAGCAGGAGGGGAAGGAGGAGGAGGAGGAGGAGGTAAGCCAAAGGGCCAGAGGTCTCTTGGATGCCTCTCGGAGCCTCTTGGGATATCTCTTGGGCGCTTCCTGGTTGCCTCTTGGGACGGTCTCTTGGCGGTCCTGGGGGGCTCTTGGGCGTCTTGGGTACCTCGGGGGGACCTCTTGGGGCCGTTTGAGATCCTCTTGGGGCCCTCCTGAGGCCTCTTGGCGGCTTCTTGGGTCCATCTTGGGGCCGTCTTGGGGCCTCTTGGAGCCTCCTGGGCGCTTATTGGGGCCATCTTGGAGGCCATCGATTAAAGAAGAGGGGAGCTTCAACTAGCGCCCCCACCCCTCCCCCCCAAGAGGCCAAAATGGGGCCAAAACCCTAGTCAATCCAATGATTTTGGCTTCCTCGCGGAGGCCGTTTTGGACGCCCTGACCGCTCGCGACAGGCCCCGTCCAGGTCCAGGGGAAGGGAGTAGGGGGAGGGGTAAACCCCTCTGCGAAGAGGAAGAAGGGGGTCTGGAAGAGGAGCCGCCCTAGACCACCTTCGCCCAGAGGGCTTGTGGGATTGAGAAGGAAGTGGAGGAGAGCAAGGAGAGGGCGGAGTTGGCGGGATGAGGAAGCGAACGGATACGTGTAAAGGAGGTGGAGAGGGAGGAGGAGGACGAAGAGGAGGAGGAGGAGGAGGAGGAGGAGGAGGAGACCGAGGAGGAAGAGGAGACAGAGGAAGATCTCGTGACCTTTCTCCGCACGTGCCCGACTACCAGAGCGCTGGGGAGGCGGAGCAGCAGTGGGAGTCAAACTAGCCAGCTCGAACGAGTCAGCAGGGCCGCTCGCACCCGCTCTCCATCACAGGGGCACTGGTGCCGCAACACAGGTGGGCCTCGAGACCGGCGCGCGCTCCCACCTGGCGAACGCGAGGTGCCCGCGCGCGCGGCCCCACTTGCGACGGCATGGCGACCGAAGGCCGAGGGCCGCGAAAAGGCGGAGGTAGGGCTCTTCGGTCCTGCGTCCGCGCTGTGCGCAACAGCACCAGCGGCTGTTCCGCGTGCGCGCCGAGCTCCGGCAGGACTGCAGTCGACCCGCATGGTAAGCATGGGCAACCTTCCCGAGGGCACCCTTGCAGCCTTGCCTCCTCGGTCCGTCCTTGTTCACTTTCGCTGGCCGCGCCCCGCTCGAAAGGCTTCGACACGGCCTTCCAGGGTCCTTGCGTCCTTCTCGTGCACCCTTATGATACGGGTCGACTGCGCAGCAGGTGCCTACGGGTCGACTGTGCATCCTTGTGATACGGGTCGACAGAGAAGAACTTGGCCTACCAGCAGGTGCCCCACGGGAGTTACTTGTTTCTCGATGGCCCTGGGGGCCCACAGAAGCCTTGGGGCACCTCGGGAAGCTCAATTGCTCGACGACACACATGGCTCTGGAATTCTTACAGAAGGATGCCTCGTCGTGTGTCGTATGTGTTTGCTGTAGGGGACTCATGCGCCGCGCCCAGGCGGGGGCGCAGTCTTCAAGCGAAATCTGCGAACGCGAGGGCGGCACCTTTTGCTCTCGCAGGCGCGGCCCAGATTGTTTTCGACGGCGGGGCGAGCGAAAGAGATGCGTCGTGCCCTCGCGCCCGAAGAGTGAACCACAATTCTTAACGAAAATTGCGCGGCGCTTGGGCGAGAGCGGCGTTTCGCCCGCTCGCACGCACCTCTCCGCCCGACGAGTTCTTCGAGCGAGAAGTGTGCGCAGCGGCTAGGGCGGGCAGGCAACCTCCAGAAACAAGTGTGTGCGGCGCCCAGTCGACAGCGGCATTTCGACATTTTGCTCGTGATGCGCCCCGCGTCCTGTTCCTGCCACGCGCTCTGCAAGGTCGAGCTCGACGTGTCCATGTTGAGCATATCTCTAGAAGGATGAGGATGAGGAGAAGACAGGGTGTGTGAGGAGAACAAGTGGAGAAATGGGAGAAGGGTGAGGCAGTTCATGAGCAGGCGGACGGGGAGTGGTGGGAACGTGCCTCTTCGGGCCGAGTTCTAGGGGTTAGGAACACAACGCGGTGGAGGAGGAGAGTGGGGAGGCGGATTAGAAACAGGAGGAGGTGGAACAAGAGGAGGAGTAGGAGGAGGAAGAGGAGGAGGAGGAAGAGGAGAAGGAAGAGGAAGAGGAGGTCGGAGCATGCAGAGGATGAAGCTTCTGCTGCCGCCGCTGATGATGCTGCTGCTGCTGATGATGATGATGCTGCTGATGATGATGATGATGGTGATGACGAAGATGACGCTGGTGGGGACGCTGCTTGCTTATTAGTATTTCGATGGTGACGATGGGCATGGTCATGTTGTTGATGCTGATGAGACTTATGCTCGTTATTATTATGATGATGCTGATGATGCTGATGCTGTTGCCGATGATGCTGATGATGGTGATGATGATTAGGCCGTTGATGATGATGACGATGATGGTGATGATGATGACGCTGATGACGCTGATGATGGTGATGATGACGATGACGCTGGCGATGATACTGCTGATGATGGTGGCGATGTTGATGATGATGGTATATGATGATGGCGATGGCGACGATGTCGATGTTGATGATGCTGCTGACGATGATGCTGATGATGATGGTAATGCTGATGATGATGACGATGCTGCTGATGACGATGATGTTGGTGATGTTGTTGATGCTGATGCTGATAGTGCTGACGATGGTGATGGTTCTGATGATGATGGTACTGCTGCTCATGACGATCGTGATGATGGTGATGCTGATGAGGGCGATGAGGATGATGAGGAGGGGGATGCTGATGCTGATGATGACGAAGAGGATGATGACGATGAGGATGCTGATGCTGACGACGACGAACATGAGGAGGAGGAGGAGGAGGTTGCTGCTGACGAGGAAGTTGAGGATGATGAGTATGTCGATGAGGAAGGTTAACATGGTGGTGCTGGAGATGTGGGTGATGCTGATCATGATGCTGATCCTGATGCTGACCATGGTAGGACGGAGCGGATGGCGATACTGATAATGACGACGGGGAGTATGACGATGATGGTGATAATCATGATTATGACGAGGCAGAGGAGGAGGAGGAGGAGGAGGAGGAGGAGGAGGAACTTGAGGAAGAGGAGGAGGAGGTGGAGGAGGCAGGAGGAGGAGGAAGTAGGAGGTGGAGGAGGAGGAGGAGGAGGAGGAGGAGGAGGAGGAGCGAAGCAGGAGCGGAGGAAGAGGAGAAGGAGGAGGAGGAGGAGGAGGAAGAGGAGGAGGAGGAGGAGGAGGAAGAGGAGGAGGAGGAGGAGGAGGAGGGGTCGGGAGGGGGAGGTTGGCCGAGGATGCGGATGAAGGAGCGTGCTGGGGTAGCCTGGAGAGCCGCCACGGAGGATGCGCGCGCGAGAGGTTCTCGGCGTCCTCTTCGCCGCTGCTTTCGGCGCAGGACCGCGGACGCGGCCCCTGCGCCCGCCCTCTCGACGCCGCCGCTGTGCCTGTCCCATCCTCCTCGCCCTGCTCGTCCCATCCTCCTCGGCTTGCCTTTCATGCATTTTTCCCGGAAAGGGCATGGGCCCAGGGTTCTCTTTTAGTTGGTTTACCCCCGGTTTTTACCTGAAGGGGGCCGGCGGAATTCTTGTGCGATAAATTACGAGGTCGAAGGGGGCCGGCGGATTTCAATTGTGAGGACGAAGGCCATTTTTCGCCACCCCTCACGCAGATCGTGCTCTTGGAATTTTACTGCCTTTAAGGAAACCTCGATATTTCACAGGTGAAGTCCACTTTTTTCCTACATCGACTTTAAACGATAAAAAAAACAAGGTAAACGCGTTCGTTCGATAAATAACGAGGTACTGCGGCCTCCGGAACGGCGCTGGGAACGGAGTTTTGGATTCTTGAAGTTGCATAAATTCGGAAATAGCAGAAATCCCTTATGTTTTTTTGACCCTGACCCCGCCGATCTGCGTGAGGTGTGGCACGGAATACCAGAAATTTGTCAAATCCCTTGTGTTTTTGGACCCTGACCCCGCCGATCTGCGTGAGGGGTGGCGCGGAATTCCAGAAATGTGGCAAATCCCTTGTGTTTTTGGACCCTGACCCCGCCGATCTGCGTGAGGGGTGGCACGGAATTCCAGAAATGTGGCAAATCCCCTGTGTTTTCGGATCCTGACCCCGCCGACCTGCGTGAGGGGTGGCACCGAATTTCAGAAATGTGGCAAGTCCCATGTGTTTTCGGACCTTGACTTCGCCCAGGAGGGCCCAGGAGGCTCCAGGAGAGCCCAGGAGAGCCCAGGAGGGCCCAGGAGGGCCCACGTCACTTGGCGCGTCTCGTGGGCATGTCCCCTGACTTGCGCTTCCCCTGGCACGTTTGCGACTCGACCCCTGGCACGTTCCGTGGTGGATCATTTGGGATCGTGGCCCTCGGAGCGTGGACCCAGCGGAGACGTCTAACAGAGCAAGGCAATGTGTCCCCAGGTGCGTTTCGACTGCAGCCAGCTTGAGCTATGCGTTCAGGCAGCTCGAGCTTAAGATTCACATCAGTTCGGCCAGGATTCTGACGCTGAGGGCGACCTGACCCGTTGCGCAGTACAGCACAGCACAGTTCAACGCAGCATGGCGCATTTCAGCTCGTCACAGCATAGCACAGCCCCTGGCACGGCACATCAGCACCGTTACTTTGAGCATAGCAGTTGCTTGTCGCCCAAGTTTGTCGTCACGAATACGTCCCCATGCTTACATTTCTATATCCCTTTCCCGGTTCGTGGGTCGATCATGTTTCACGGAAAGGGCTTAGACCCAGGGTTCTCTTTAAGTTTTGTTTTCCCCCGGTGCCATGCTTGAAGGAGGCCGGCGAAATTATCTGCGATAGATAACGAGGTAAATATTCATTCGGCGTGGAAAACATGCGTTTTGCGCGTGCCCGCTTGCGCCCCCCATCTCGGATCCTCGATAAATAACGGGGTCTGCAGACACCCGTTTTCCTTTCGTAAATGAGAGTGTGCGGGGCATTTTTTAGCAGAATCCTCAAGAAAAAACTAAGTCTGGAGCCCAGACCGGTACATAAAACATGTGAGCATGATCACTTTTTGCGTGTCCGCTCGAGGATGGCGCGTCATACGCGCAGAAATTCCAGGGTTGTCTCGAGCGAAACGCTCGTTTCGCAAAATTTGATGGGCCTGGGCGCTCCAGGATGCCCAAGGGATTCTGGTAGCGCAAATCCAAAGTAATTTACGAGGGATCGCGGCTTTGGGAGCGCGGACGCTTTGTAATTTACGACGGATCATGGACTTGGGAGCGCGGATGCCGCTTACTTTATGAGGGATCGTGGCTTTGGGAGCGCAGATCCAAAGTAATTTACCAGGGAGCGCGGCCCTGGGAGCGCGGACGCAGCTTCATTTACAACGGATCGTGGCCTTGGGAGCGCGGACGCAGCGTAATTCACCAGGGATCGTGGCCCTGGGTGGGCGGACACAGCGCAATGCACTGGGGAACGTGGCCCTGGGAGCGCGGACACGGCGTAATCCACTATGCAGCGCGACCCTGGGAGCGCGGACGCAGCGTAGTTTACGAGGGATGATGTCCATGGGATCGCGGACGCAGCGTACTTCACGAGGGAGCGTGGCGACGGACACAGCGTAGTTTACGAGGGATCGTGGCCCTGGGGGAGCGGACGCAGCGCAGCGTACTTTACCAGGCATCGTGGCCCTGGGAGCGCGGACGCAGCGCAGTTTACGAGGGATCGTGGCCCAGGGAGAGCGGACGCAGCGCACTTTACGATGGACCGTGGCCTTGGGAGCGCGGACTCAGTGTACTTTACGAGGGATCGTTGCCCTGGGTCAGGGACTTCCCGTGGCACGTTCCCTGACGCGTTCCCTGGCACGTTCCTTGGCGCGTTGGCACGTTCCCTGGCACGTTCTGTGGCGCTTTCCGTGGCCGAGTCTCCCTGGCAAGTCGCGCGGCGCGTCCTTGGCACGTCCCATGGCACGTCCATTGGCACGTTCCGTAGCGCGTCCCCTTGGCACGTCCCTTGGCACGTCTCTTGCCGCGTCCCTTGGGACATTCCGCGGCGCGTCCCCCTGGCATGTCCCCCTGTCAATTAGCCCTGAGGCAGCTACTATGCGCTCAGGCAGCTCGAGCTCAAGATCCAGATCAGTTCGGTCAGGACTCGGATGCAAAGGAGGACTCGATCCACAACGCTATAGAGCACAATCGCGGCATGGAACATCACAATTCAACACGGCGCAGCACAGCACAGCCCTTGGCACGGTACATCAAGATCGATACACTCAGCATTGCAATCGCCCGTTGCCCAATCAGGTGTCTTGAAAACGCTGCCATTCCTCACATTTCTATGTTCCTTTCCGGGTTCGTGGGTCGATCATGTTTGTTTGTTTTTTGTTTCATCTCTCTCTCTCTCTTTCTCCGCCCTCGTCTTAGCCTTTTTATCTTGCGCGCAGGGCAATTCGCCTATCGGTTGCCCCGATTAGCCCCGCGCTGGTGCGGATTGCCTCTGCCTCGCCGCTGACGACAAATTGTGCAGGTGCATGTCGTCGGCTCGGCAGTGCGTGGTATTTCGGGCTGAGCGTTCCCACCGCCTCCCTGTGACACCAGAGTGTGTTGATCAATGGTAGGCACTCCAAACGGCTAATTTCTTTCAGGGAAGCCGGGCTTGGGCCCGCTGGTTTTTATCACGCAGAGGCCCCTGTTTGAAAGCAAATCCGTCGTTCTCGCCACGGCACGGCCGTTCGGCGATACAGGGACGTTGGGAGGGGCTCCTGTTCGACGCTGCGCCTCCCATCCCGTCCGTTCGTCGTCGCTCCTCTGCTGGGTCCACGACCTCGGCCACAGCCTCCACGCCATGCCCAGCAGCCCAACGCCGTGGGATGTGCTTCTTCATCAAGGTCACCCTTGCATCCCTGCTTCCTCGGCCAATCCTGCACCAACGGCGACGCCCAAGGAGCGCCAACTTGCAAGCGGGATGTCCAAGGGTCTTGCATCCTTGCCCTGCGCCCTTGAATTGATTTTCGCAGTAAGGGGCACGGGCGGCCTCCCCGGCGGAGCGCGCACAACTCCGGCGGTCGCTTCGCTCTTCGCTCTGCTGGGTCGCGACGGTGCCTCTCGTCGAGCACCAGGCCCCTTGGCCCTCTGTGACAGTGTTGCGATCGAGGGCCCCCCCGCACTCGACCGCTGGAGTCGGACCCTCGTACGCTTGCCACCGGTGAAGGCGCAGTGCCCTTTGCGCGCCTTGCGGCCACCCGCGTCTCTTGATTTGGTGGCCCAGCCGTCTGGCCGACCTCCCTTACGTTGCATCCTTACCATGCCGGGCTTTGACTGTCTCGTCCGCCCACCCCGATCCGATCCGTGGCCCCGGACCTCTCCACAGGAGCGTTCTTTCATGTATTTCAAAGATCAGCCTGGGCGACGAGAAGCTCTGGAACGCCCCAGAAAGTATGAACATTGTATATGACCAAAACCTCGATCCTCGAACCTTGAAGTCGATCTTCGAATCTCCTTCCTCGAACCACTGATTCGTCAACCCCGAATTCGATGCGGCCCCATTCGCGCGCGACCTGACCTCTCAGCCCCCTCAGGAAGAGGGGGAAAATACTACGGGGAGTGAGGGAGGGAAGAGGAGTGAGGTAGGCCTGTGCAACTGTTCGATCCTCCGCTCTCGCTTGGGAACACGAAGAAGGGGAGTGGCTGAGGGATGAGGGATGAGGTTCATGTGTCTTTCCGTTCGATCCTCCGCCCTCTCAAGTTGGGGGAAGCCGAATACGGGGAGTGGGGGAGAGATGAGGAAGTAGGTGAATCAGTATACGTGTCGCGCCGCCTGTTCTGGCCAACCGCGCCTCGGTGCGACACGCTATCCACTTCACGGTCCCGAGGCGTCAACGTCCTGAGCCTTTCCGAGCCTCCCGCCCCGCGGCGCGGAGCGATATGCTATCCCTCCGCAGGGCATGGAAGGCATGGCGTGTCGCCGTTGCCGCCGTGGCGGCACGCTATCCAACAGTTCCTGACCGTACAACCTACCCAAACAGGCATAACCACCACCTCGTAATCGACACGGTGGTTGGTCGGTTTTGCAGACGGTCGACGGAGGACCCCCGCCCCGCTGACTACCACTTGAGATCTCGAAGTGAGGGTTAGGACTTGCGGACTCAGATCTTGCCGTTTCAAACTGCTTTTGCATACCGCCCCAACCACCCAACGCCCCAGCCAGAATTCTCGACGGACGGTAACGGCGGGGGCACTTTGCGTGGGGGGATCAAGGACTGCAGGAAGGCGGCCCCTGCACGGCCCCCAAGCTGCAACCGCGGGCCAAAAAGAGGTGCTCGAGAGGCACACGGATCTTCAGCCCCCGCTTGCTGTCAGGAACTCTGGGTTAGCGCGTCTCGCCGCCGGTTCTGGCACACCACCCTTCTGGGCGACATGCGAACCACTTTCCCTCCCCCTCCTCCCCCTCCTCCTCGTCCTCATCCCCCTCCCCCTCCCCCTCCTCCTCCTCCTCCTCCTCCTCCTCCTCCTCCTCCTCCTCCTCCTCCTCCTCCTCCTCCTCCTCCTCCTCCCCTCCAGTCCCCAAGCGTCAGCGCCCCGCGGAGCGGAGCGACACACTATCTGCTCGCGGGGCACGGCGTGTCGCCGTCGCCGGGGCCGCAACCGCCACGCGCCCCGCGCCCCGCGCCCTGGCCACCGTCTAGGTGGTTTTCGGTTCATAACTCGGGCCTCCAGCGGCCGTTCGGGACGATCCGGGCAACCCTGGAACGCTTTTTTGTAAGGCGTAGTCGCTGGAAGGCGCCCTGAGGCTGGGAAGCCGCCAGGAGCCAACGAGAACGCCCGACAACCTCGAACCTGCAACCTCCGACCTCCAACCTCGAACCTAATACATCCTAGCGCCCCCCCCAGCCTAACGTCCTCCCTGATATGACCCAGCGCTTCCCGCCACCCTCTGGGAAGTTCGCATGCCCAGGAGCGCCGCCCGTCGAGCGCTGCCTCGCTCGCGGCCAGCGCGGAGGGCGCCGCGCCACCAGGCGCGACGCGCACACGGTCGCGTCCGTCCGCCGCCGTCGGCCGCCGACGCCGCGGCCGTCGCGGCTGCCGCGGTCGTCTCGGTCGCCGCGGTCGTCGCGGTCGTCGCAGTCGCCGTGGTCGCCGCGGCCGTCTCGGTCGTCGCGGTCGGTGTGGTCGTCGCTGCGCGGTCGTTGTGGTCGTCGCGGTCGCTGCCGCCGTCGCGGTTGTCGCGGACGTCGTGGTCGTCGCGTGAGATTCAGGCGGGAAGTTTTCGGGCGTTCTCGGATGTTTTCGAGGCCCGGGGCGGCTTCAATTAACTAGCTGCGCCTCGTTGAGGGGGCTCTTGGCGTCAAGGCGCCAGTCGTCGCCGACGCCGCGGTCATCACGGCCGCCGCGGTCGGGAAGGAAAATCAGGGGCATCATCGGGATGCGTGACATGGCGGCCCCTCCTCCTCCGCCTCCTCCGCCTCCTCCTTTTCCTCCTCCGCCTCCTTTTCCTCCTCCTCCTCCTCCCCCGCCTCCTCCATCTCCTCCTCCTCCTCCTCCTCCTCCTCCTCCTCCTCATCATCATCATCATCATCCTCCTCCTCCTCCTCCTCCTCCCCTCCTCTTCCCTCCTCCTCCTCCTCCTCCTCCTCCTCCTCCTCCTTCCGCTCCTCCTCGGCCTCCTCCACCTCCTCCTCCTCCTCCACCTCCTCCTCCTCCTCCTCCTCCTCCTCCTCCTCCTCCTCCTCCTCTCTCCCTCCTTTCCCTCCCCAGCCCTGACGTTCGAAGTGGGCTCAGGGTCGGAGGCATCGACCCCCCCGATGGCTCCTGGATCGCCGATGGGGGCCCGATGGTCCACCCTGCCCGGGAGCGTGCGGAGCCCAGGCCCGCCCAGACCACGGATCGCAAGAAACAGGCCCGATGGCCCATCCCGCTGGCCTTGGCGTCGCTCGGACGTGTGCATTCTTTGCTCGGCAGCGGCCATCGAGGAAACTCTTGGGTCGTCGTGCGACGCGCCCGTCGCCCTCTCGCTGGCGGGGGCGTCGGCGCTAATCGCGGGCGCCGCCGGAGTCTGGGAGGAACTTGTTTCGAGTTCAGTATGTGACACCAGGTCCCACGAGGTCCGTCGTCGAGGTGCGGGAGAGGAGGTACGGAAACTACTGGATGAACATCGTATGCTTGCACCGATTACATTTTACCATATGAGCACACATTCTATTCATCATCAACACCGCCGTCGGCATCTAGGATTGATTATTTCTTCGTCGCGACGGGGTTTCACAATCGTGTGCGACATTGGCATACCCTCCGTGAGCTTGGAGCGCGTCTTCAGCCACTTCGGGGTATACCACCACGGGATCATTTACCTGTATTGCTCACGCTGGATAGCATCAAAACATATACGAGCTCCCAGCCCCACCGCCGCCTCGAATGGATCCCTCGGCGCTTATGCAGGCAGTACGCAGCGGAACAGGTCGAGCCAACTTTCTCACCGATTTGGCCCAAGAAGTGGCTTCACGTTCGGACGAGCTCACTGCTGCGACAGAGACAGGCGCACCCGACACTTTTTTTTTGAGAAAATGAAAGAACTATCAGCCGAATTGGACAGGCATTTCTCTCGAGCACCTCAGGCATCATCACCCACGGATGCGACTGAACGACGATCATTACTTCATCAACGTTATACATCACTTCTAGCCAGGGGGAGGAGGGGAAGGACTTGGAGAGGATCGAGAGACTGCTGAAGCTTCTTTCCCAGCGTCTGCAGAAGGAAAGGGTGAGGGCGAAGAAGGTGGAGAGGGAGATGTTTGTAGAGCAGATCGAGGAGGCGTGGGAGCAGCGACGAATGGCAGATGCGATGGCCTTGTCACGGCGGGCGGCCCGCTGTCGGTTTGGGGCTAAACAGAGAGATGGTCGACGTCTCGGGCCCCTCCTCTACCTAGAGAAGTATGGCTGGCACATTTGGGTCTTCCTGGACCAGAAGGGGGTATGAAAACACGGGATGTTTCTTGCGACGAGTGGATGGCCGCACGCGAGGGTCGACCGGTGCCTCCGACGTCGGCGGGGGACGAGCATGCGATCACCGAGCTCGCGGGAGAAGATTTTACTGCGCTTCGTAAGTATAGTCGCTTGGCTGGGAAAAGACGTGCTGTTGCCCTTTCTACTTCGCCATGAGAACTTTGGGATATGATACTGTCACTGATCCGGGAGACAGGCGCAGACACTACACCTGTTCGGGGTCAAGGGTTAGGGTATCATGAACACATGCCAGACGGGCAGCCCATCCACTATCTTCTTCATCTTGGACTACGCCAGATTCGGAGAGTGGAGATGACCCCCTTGTGTTGGCACAGGTCAGGCGGCGTCGGTCTTCCCAGGGCGGCAGATCCATGGCCCCGAGGCCGACGTTTAGTTTACACACTTCCTGCAATAGGCAAGGCGTGGTACGCCAAGAGCACTATGCAGCGGCTCCCTGAGCAAGACCATGGTTTCGCTCGGCACCGCAGGCGTGAGGACGCCAGTCTTAGCACGATGGCCATCGGATGTCGGTTACGACAGTCAGGGTGGGCATTCGCGGTCACGATGAAGGATTTATCGAACGCGTTCGGGAGCACCGAGTGGAGCTGTCTCGACAGGCTAGTTCGTGATGTCGTCCCTGCACACGATCGTGTATTATTTCGTCAGAGATATATACTGTCCGCCGTTGGGGTGGAGACTCCGTAGGTGACTTTAACAGTGAAGACGGAGGTTGGAGGCGTGATGGGGGGCCCTTCCAATGGTCAGCGGTTCGCGGGGCGTTCGTCGACCCAGTCAACACGTAGGCCACGGAGGTACGGGGCCACGGAGGTACGGGTATGGACACCCCCATAGACATGTGTTTCCAGAAGTCTGCTGATGATTTACTTAGATGTATCCCCCTCGCCCTGGGCACGACGATGGAGAAGTTTTTCGCCTAGCTCCACCTCTCGGACGCCATCCTGGAAGGGCCCAGGGCACGGCGGGGTGCGTTCAAACCGGGGCAAGCAAGTGACACGTTTTTTTTTATCGGGGGAGAAAGGAGGCGCAGTGCAAGAAGTACATTCGGGAGGAGGGGATCAACAGAAAGCGTTTGGACGCGGTCGTCTCGGACGTTGCACGGTACTTAGGTCCAGTACTAATACCAAGTCAACAGAGCGCCCCAGAAGTTTAACGTAGGCTGGCTGCCGCTACACCGGCTTTCTACCCCTAAGAAATGGAAGAAGACCATCTTCATAAGTCTGGTGCAGGGCTCGCTGCTTTCGGGCATGGGGCCTTTCTTGCTCGCGACAGGCAGTTGACAGTGATGGGTCGCCACCATGCCCGGCTAGGCCACTGAGACAGAGGATGTCGCGAAGCGTTCGCTCTCCACGTTGCAGATGCTAGACTACTGGGGGCTTTCTACATGTAAGTTTGAGGTCGCAACTGGGAGACTAGCTTGGTACCAGAGCTGGGCCACCTACCAAGAGGAGCATGTGCAGATTCTGGTGGCGCTTTTTCGTTGGACTGCCCTTTGAACCTGACGACGGCTGGCCCTGTCACGACACGGAAGATTTCACGATTGTGGGCGAAGCGAGTCAGGGCATATATTAAAACGGCTAGTCGAGCTTGTCCCGACGAGGAAGATTTCTTATCCCGCCGGGTCCAATTTCCTTGGCTGTTACTAGAGGATGAGGAGGTGCGACGAGATTTTGCACGTATCGGTTTCCGACGAATACGTAAATATTCGCAGACCTACAGGATCCCCCATCCAGGCCTCGACTCAAACATGATCGTAGAGGCGGGTTTGGAGGGGGAGGATGGGATCGAGCCCCCGCATCGGCGCACGGCGGTGGTGGGGGGGGGACTTGCAGGAGCGCAAGCAGGCCTTTACCGCGCAGACAGGGCTCATGGAACAGATGCGTCCGTAATCTTAGCCACGTGCGAGTAAAAAACTAGCCACTGCCTTCTATGCTGGAGAATCTGTCGATCTCAGACGACGGCGGCGCGACGCCTGCAGCCCGCCGCCCAAAGGGGGCACTGTGGGCGCTGGGGGCCCATGTCGATTGCACCGACGATTGAGCCATCGGATTTTGCTTGCAAGTTGTGTTATTATGAGGGGGCGACATCCGTCGACAACTGTAGCCATGTGTCGGCTTATCTTCCGTAGAGAGTTAAGAAGCTTTCTTTCACCTGCTTCATATCTTCATGTTGCTGCTCGCCCCACAGGTGGGCCCCGAGAGGGTCGCGCTGTTCGGGATGGTTGACCTGGGCGCGCCCAGCTGGGCGAAGCGCCCGTCGGAGGGCCAGGGCCAAGCATCGGCGGCGAAGCGGGTCAAGGGCAGCGAGAGGGGCGGCGGCGGCGGCAACAGGGGCGTCGCGGCGAAGGCCGACGGCGAGGACATGGGCGACTTCAGGGCCCTCGTTCTGGCGCTGGCGAAGCTGGTGCTATTTACTGGCCCGCCAGATCGCGGCGGTGGAGCGCGCCGCCAACCAGAGCTACGCGGTGCCAGAAGAGGCAGTGGACTCCACCGGGAGCATTCCCAAGCAGGCGGGCGACGACTGCAACTCGGTCTCAGGCGAGCTACGTCAACGACATAAGAAAGGAGAGCAGGTGGACTTCAAAGAGCGCGGGCCCCCGTGCATCGCCATCTTCGCGACGCTGAAACCACGTCATGGGCGAGGCGAAGAAGGGCGCGGCGGAGTTGGACAGCAAGGTTTTCTCGGCGCCGAAGACTTACTGGGCGACCCTCGTGCACGCGAGCACGCCGACCAAGATGGGCGAGCACGTTCTGCATTTCAGGTGCAAGAACGCCAGAGAGTGCCTTCATTCGCCTTGGCGGCACAGGAGCCAAGTCCGAGACCTTGTCTGGGAGGGGCACGAGCCACTGTTCTGGCCGGCCGACAGTGGCCTTAGCTGCGACAGCTACTGCTGGACAACGGTTACTGCCAGCCCCACGGAGCAGGAGTGGCTGGAGTTTTGGCAACTACCAGGAGGATTAGGCGGCGAGGAAGGCACCGAGCAGAACAGCGAGACGGTAA